TCAAATTTTCCCGGGGCGTACGATAATTTTCTGCCGCGTACGATAATTTTGCGCCCCTGTGTCCATCAAACGAACTAAAGTCTCTGGGATCACTGAGCAATCCCATTCGTACGATAATTATCGTCGCGTCACGTTCAGCTTGTACGATAATTTTCGATTTTACGATAATTATCACTGTCCTATTTGGAAATTAAAAAAACTTGATGACCTTTGAACAAAAGGGGAAAGTTCAACGGTTAACGGGTTCAACTTGTGATTTTAATTAGATATCTCGAGAAGAAAGAACCACCACTGTACGATCTGATCTCCTTCCCTGACGTACGCCGTACCTACGGCAGTTTGTTTCAACTTGAAGACTAAAAAAAAAAAAAATAAAAGTTTTTTTGAAAAAGTTGGAACTTGTACTCTTTTTCCTGATTTTGAAAATCTAATCCGACAAATTCAACAAATTCAAAATTTTTCCTGTGCGTACGATAATTTTACGCCCCTGTGTCGATCAGACGAACTAAAGCTTGGAATCACTGGTCACGTGACCTGCTCATCTTAATCGGCGTGCTGTTTTGTTGTGAATCGGTGTAGTACGTTATGAAGTTTTCTCCATTCACTCGTTTTCTCATCGATTTATTTTTATATTTAAATTAAATATGTAAGTAATTAAATGTGTAATATTAATATATTCGTTATTTTATATAACAAATTAATTATGAAGACAATATTGTTATTTTGCTTTATTAATTTTATACAATATACTACACAAATTGAATTGTTTTCATTTATTATATTTTGATTTCAGATTTAATTTTACATTTTATAATAGGTATTATACTATTATAACCAAGAATTAGAAAATAAAAAACCATAACATTATTATTAATTTATTATATCAAAAATAATTAAAATCAATTTCCTTTTGTAATCAATTATTTTGAATTACAACATGAGAATCGCAATAGAAGGGTGTGCCCATGGCGAATTAGAACTTATTTACAATAGCCTACAGAAGATTGAAAAAGCTAACGGGGAAAAAATAGATTTATTGATATGCTGCGGAGATTTTCAATCGACAAGAAACTTATGTGATCTAAAATGTATGGCGGTACCTGATAAATATAAAGACATGTGTACTTTTTACAAGTAAGTATTAACGGTAAGAAGCTACAATTTCTTAATAATTAATGAATTAATGATATAAATATCTTATAGATATTACTCAGGAGAAAAGGTTGCTCCAGTATTAACTATTTTTATTGGTGGTAATCACGAAGCATCAAATTATCTTCAAGAATTACCGTATGGTGGATGGGTTGCTCCTAATATTTATTATCTTGGTTATGCTAATGTTATAACAATAGGTGGTATTAGGATTGCTGGAATTTCTGGTATTTATAAAAGTCATGATTGGATGCAAGGACGTCACGAGAAACCACCTTACACTAAAAGCACAATACGCAGTGTTTATCACATTAGAAATATAGAAATATTTCGACTAAAACAGGTAACTGCAAACATTGTATTCATTAACAATTGTTAATTATATATACATTATTTACAAGCAATTTTTTTTTAACAGATCTCTGGTAAAGTTGATATCTTTTTATCTCACGATTGGCCGAAAGGAGTAACTAGGTACGGAGACGAAGAAAAGTTATTAAGGAGCAAACCATATTTTAGGTTTTTATCTTTTCTTACATTGTGTGTGTGTGTGTTTATGTGTGTGTGTGATATAAATTTAAATATTTAAAAGCAACATATAGTATATCAAATATTATATTCTAGGACTGATATTGAAAATAATGCCCTTGGTAATCCAGCGAACATGGAACTATTACAATATCATTATCCATCATATTGGTTTTCTGCGCATTTACATTGTAAATTTGCAGCTCTTATTCCTGAAAAAGATGGAAATAGAAAAACGAAATTTTTAGCATTGGATAAGTGTTTACGAAAAAGAAAGTTTCTTCAAATTTTAGAGTTAGATCATAATCCTAATTTACCATTAACTCTAAGCTATGATTTAGAGTGGTTAACTATTCTATTTTTAACAAATCATTTACTCAGCGTTAAGAATGGAATACATTACATGCCTGGACAAAACGGCATAGGCAGATGGACGTTCACACCAACTGCTAAAGAAAAAGAGCATGTATTAAAGAAATTTAATTATGATTTAAAAGTACCAAATAATTTTGTACGAACTGTTGAACCTTATGATCCAAATTTAAGGAACTGTCAAAATGAAACACCTAAATTGATAATAAATAATCAAACTACTGAATTTTGTAATACCTTGGGCATAGATGATCCTTCAGTATTATTGAAAATTATACTAAATGCAAAAGAAACAAAACTTAATGACACATCAATGGAATCAGCGTTAGAAAGTACATTAGAAACTAGTGATTTCTGCATCACGTACGAAGAAGACAGTGTATGCGAGGATAGCGCAAATAATACTATAGAAATGGTCAATATACATTATAGCAATGTATTACAAGTAGAAAATATAGAATCTGATAGTAAGTATATTAAATAATAATGTATAAATGTTATTAAAATAAAAAAAATTATAAATTTTGATTATAATTTCATTATTCTATTTTTTGTTTATCTTACAGGTAATAATACCATTACACAGTTAGAACCAAAATGTAAAAAGTTTAAAAGAAGAAATCATTCTATGTATTCTAATACTCTTTAAATGTGAGCAAAACTTTTTTTTTCTCAAAAAGACAGGAAGAAGTTCATTGACGTAAAATCTTACATAGCAAATTTGACTTATTCCAAATTTTCATATGTATATAATTACATATTTTTTTGTAGAGTATATCTCTTTAAGATATATAGAAATATATATCATGAAAATATATGTATAAAGCAATTGATATTTTATCTTGATTAGTAAAAATCAATTAATTGATTGATAAGTGTATATATATTATAGATAATATTTCTATTATATTTCCATGATTTACAAATTAATCAAATTACATTACATTACATTACATTACAATACATTGCACTGTATATTACATAATGTTTTATATATATTTAGATTAAATAAATGTATAATATTAAAAAAGAAATGATTATAGATTATACAATAATAATTTAACTTTTTGCACTGAAAAGTTTATTTTAACTCAAATTATACAGTTATTAATGTTATTAATAGGAAATTATTTGTATTAAAATTGAAATGATTCAGGAGCAGAGTCATTTCACATTTGTTTTGAAACTTGAAGGCTCTGCTCTAAAGTCCTCAAGTGCAAAGGGTTAAATATATAGAACTAATTGTTTCAAAGAGTCAAAATGTTGATCTATTAAATAATTATTTAAAATATCAGGATAAATTGATTCGTAGCACTTATGTAAATAGACAAAAGTCTTCAGTAGTTCTGTTTCACTCTAACTTGGTTGTTAATCTTGACGAATAAACATTAATTAAAACGATTACTTAAAAATTATTTAAAAAATCACTACACACTATCCAAGACGATTCAATAGCATGACGTCAAAATATACATTTATTTGAATCATTAATTAATTATAAACAAATTATACTTACAAAGGATATTAAATCTAGAAACACTTATTCGTGACAGTCATTCTTCTTCGATAGTATAAGATAAAAAATACAAAATAATGTAAGAATTTATTAGAGTAAAAGTTTTCATTCATTGAACTTTTACATACCTGTGCACACTCTGATATTATTATTGGTTATTTTATTTTTTTTCTGTGCCTATCGATCACTCTCACAAAACGATACAACATACAATCTCAGTGTTCATAGAAACTGAATTTCATCAAATTTAACAATGGTTCAAAATTCTATCTCACAGAATGTGTTATATTTTTCCTTATTTACATTAATATTCACGCTCCTCTCCTCCATTTTTCACCATTACTAAACTTAGTCATTTCTCGACCACTTACGCCACATGTGCCGATACCTACTCTACCGTTAACATTCTCTGGTGTCGCAAATATGCTCTTTTTTATTACACCCTTCTTCGAAGACTAAAAATAAATGAAATGTTAATTAAGTAATTGTATATTTATAAAAAGTAATATTGTTTTTTATTGCTTACCTTATTTGTAAAAGCTAACCATTTATTTTTCTCCATCTCGCGTTCCTCCTCAAGTTCCTTGAATCGTTGTAGCTTTCTTTGTTTTTTTTTCTTAAGATATTCTCTTTGTTTATTTGGATCAGCTCCTGCAATAGCAGCCGCTTGCATTTTTCTGTAAAGTAATTAATTCATCATTTAACCCAATACAACCCCATAATGTTATGTATATTAATATAAGTTTTCATATTTAATATCTTAGTCAATTAATAGTACGAATAATAAAAAGTACATACAATAATCTGTAAAATGTTTAGATTAAAAAAAAAGATTATTAAAAAGTACTTATAATACTACATATGTGATTCCATGTTTGCAACTGCTGTTCTTAATACATCTGTAACAATACTTAGATTTTATTATGGATTATAAATAAAATAAAAAATAAATTTCTTGTAGAAATAGTCTATGGTATCTGTTTACCTTTTCCTGGAATCCACAGAAGTACACAGATAACAGGAAACCAAGGGATCAAATGAATGATAATGGGGTTTCAGGTGGAAGCACATCATATGGTAGAATTATTATTGTGGACCAATGGGATTTGAATACGAAGAAAAGAATAATGAATTAGTAATAGTTAAATAATTTAACAAATTATCCTTTCATGTTCCACTGATATTAAATAATGCTTATTAATATAAGTGTAAAAATATGAATTGATAGGTTGATATTAATATAAAAAATTTAACCCCTTGCACTATGATTTAACGCATTGAGCTGTACATTATATTTTATGCTTATGTTTGAACATTTATTTCTCATGTTAGGATTATGAAGCATATTACAAATCTCATGTGTTGTTATAGTGCAAAGGATTAATAAATTTTGTATATAATTTACTTTGATTTTTGATCTGCCCAATCAGATGCTGGCCTTTTAGCTATCGATTTGAGTTGACTGAGCATGGTAACATCAGTATTTTTGTATTCATTAAACGTAACGTTTACAACTCCATCTTCGCTTATAACATCTATAGTTGCCTCGTAATACCTACAAATAAAATACTGAAGTTTATTATCTAATAATTTGAGAATAATACATACTATAATTAATAAGTAGTTTGTTAAGAACTTACTTGCCATCTTCGCTCCATGGAGCCATGCACTGATCACCAACCTTCCATTTATTAGCCAACACTGCAAGCAAAATAGGATCTTTAGCATCCATGCCATTGGCTTGCCTTTTTTCCTGTTGTTGAGATTTAATTAAATCATGCGTTAGTTCTATTACTTCTTCGAGATCGATTTTTAATTTTAAAAGTTCTTCATTGGTTGGATCTGTCGTAAGAGCAGCCTCAACCTAAAATATACGAATAAATAATAAACAATATCTGTTAAAATGTAAAAATAATGAAAAATATATCAAAAATTCAATGTTGATAACATAATGTTAGTAAGGTTAAGAAAATATTCATAAAGTTATTACCTGTTGAAGTTGTAATTTGTAATTCTGTAAATCATCCATGATTGGAATGAAATAATAAATTATCCAAGATAAAAAATAATAATTATTGTTGTTTCTGTTCGCGATTTTCTATTATGAACTCTTAAACATTAATTACGATAAAACACAATAGTTCCCCAATAATTAACCTAAATCTCGTAAGATGGCGTATTCGTCGTTCAAAATGACGTTCGCTTATATATTATGTACTACGAAATACATACCAATGAACTACGTAAGTCAAACTTAATATTGACTAATACGTAAATCAAATTGAATGTTGATTTTGATAACTATTCAATACTTAAATAGTTAATTACGTATAAATTATTGTCGAATTAAGTGCCTCGTCATAATAGATAAAAGTATTAACAAAAAAAAAATAGCAATAATAATATTATTTGATAGGTCAAGTATCACCAATGTGGTGTGTTTAAATATTAAAAGTAAATATTGAATCAGCTGATGAGTGACAACAGACAGACAGAGTCCGCATTGATGGTTGATGGTTTTTGGTTATGGCGACAAGCAGTTCGGACGGTTCTTGTAACGCTCCTGCAGATTTTCATCTATCATCAGACTTAGAAGAAATTCCTAGTCGTATACCACTTAATTCATTAAAATGTCCACTCTGTCATAATACTCGAAGAATTTTTTATTGTCGTTTTTGCGTTCAGAATGGAGATTTCGTCCATTCAACTTCTGTTTACGCGGAACGGTATATATACATATTACTATCTCTTATCAAATATCTTATTTCTAATTATATTTTCTTCTTCCCATTCTTTTTTTTAATCATAACAAATAAACTATATTTGCTTTTAAGTTTTTAATTCTAGGATTATAATTATTGAAATAAGATACAACAATTATCTTTTTTAATTTGTTTAATTATAAGATATATCAGTTGAATGCACTTAATCTAGACTTTGTATACCAAATTAAAACAATATTTAAGGACCCGAATAATAGTATGGTTTAATAGTATATTATTTAGGTTTGCTGATAAGCAACTACGATTATATCGGTTAAAAACAGCCAGAGCTCAATTAGAAGAAAAATGTAAGAAGGCGCTTGAAAAACACAAGCAGAAAGATAAATTGGTATTTATTAAATATATATTTTCATTTAATAAAAATATATAATAATAGATAAAATATTTCATGATTTCAATTTTACTTGCTAGTTTTCATTTTATTATTGTTTTCTTTTCTTTTTCAGATATGTGATATCAATGTTTGTAAAGAAAGAATTAGACTTCTTCAACTTTTAGTTAGTGAAACCAGTCAAAGCATAAGCAATGGTACGTTCATTAAATAATCATATTTATTGTGATTACGTGTATAAATTTAATTTGAAATATTAATTTAATTTTATATTAATTTTAATCTTTGTTAGGTAATAAACGTTTAAATAGTTTGAAAGATAAGAATTCTAAGTTGGCATTAAAAATCTCTAAAGATGAAGAAAAAATCGAAAAGTTACATAAATTGGCAACTACAATGTGTTTAAAACAAGAAAAACATAAAGAAGCGGTTGATCGACAGAGACAACAATTAAAGAGAGTTATTAGAATTGCAGCTAAACAATTAATTCAATACATATTTCCGCTCTCGCAAGTACAATCCAGTAAAAGGTAAACTTTATGTTAGAATCAGGGAATTTTTAACAATTATTATATGTATATAAAATATTTCCAGTTTATGTAGTAGCGAAGAAGATGTAAATGCAGATGTGGTTACTTGTGCATTAGCAGATGCATCAGGAACGTCGTATGTTAGAGGTAGATGGATTAATGATGCAGAAAATGCTTCAGAAGTACAACATCGTATAATAGCACCAACATTACCGGGATCAGGCGATTATAGTGCTTATTCTTTATGGGGTAATTATATTGGATATTAATTTATCCATTAAATATTTATTAGAAGTTGTTGGCTATTTTTTTTTTTAATTTCTCTTTTAGTTGCTGCAAATAAAGATAGCGTACCTGGTACTAATAAAGAACCATTGCACAATCCAGCATACAATATCAGTGCTGCTTTAACTTTTGCCACACAACTTGTTAATATCATAGCATACTATGTAAATGTTAAATTACCTTACAAACTTAGTTATGGGTAAGTGGAGAGCTATATATACTCGTATAATTTATTGAGGCTTATTTAATTATTTTACGATGACGTACATATGTATATAATATATGTGTGTGCATATATCTATATAGTTAAATATTATAACTAATATATTTTTAGAGAATTTTGTGGCAATGAAATGTCGGATCAGAAGTTTGCTAGAAAGGTAGCAAGGCTTAACAGTAATGTTCTACATTTATGCTTTACACAAAATACAGATATTGCAGTTCTTCATCCAATGCACACTTTACAAAATCTAATGCACTTACTCAATACTGAAATCAGTGATCTTGGAAGGTACGATATATATCTTTTCATATTAAAAAAACAATATATAACTATTAGTAATAACAATAAATATCTTCATTAAATAGGATCGGTCCAATGGAAGTTGATTCCAATGTAATAGCAAAATTGTACAGTCAGTTAGCTCCTGACTTGGAGAACAGTGACGACTCTGCTTCTGATGAAGAAGAGGATGCTTTTAATTGGGAATGGGAAGCAGTAAGTCATGGTTATATTTTTGTCAACTTCATTTGACAAGCGAATAAATTTTTAATATTTTTTTTAAAGGTTCCAAATGTCGCATGTCCTGAAATGACAGTTCCCATTCCTGGATCCTTGGCTAATCAACAATCTTCTATGCAAGTGAATCAGAGCGTCGCTGGAGGCTTGGTTACAAGTGCTGCGGCCAGTATTGCCTCTATTTGGCGTGGTTGGACAACCAATAAATAGACTGCTTATTTTTTTTACCGATACAATTCTTTTTATACAGATTTTAATTAAATTTTTCAATATGTACGTACATATTGAAATATAACTATATATATAAACCTATATCTTTTAGGAATGCTTTAAAGTGTTTTATGAAATTATCATTTATATTTTACATTCAATTTCTCTTTTTCTGTTAAATACAATTTTTCATAATAGATATAATCTTGTAGAAATAATCTTGTACAAATAATTTGTACATACAAATGGTCAGAAATCTTATACGATATTATTAAGGAATTTTATTTAACAATACTAATTATTTTACTATGTTAGAAACTACGCTATGATTGAAGTCTGAAAGGTTGTAAACATTTCTATTTTTATTTAAGAAATTCTAGATAAAGTTGACTACTGTTAGACGCCATCAGAAGTACGTCAAATAATACTTACCGTATGGTGCAGTTGTCAGGTGGAAATGGGACAGGAAAAAAAACACAAAATATATATTTGATTTATTTTTTTCGAATGCACAATGTACAGCAACATGTGTTGCTTCAATGGAATCCTCCATTCTCTGTTACAATACATTGTAATCGTTTTTCTTATAATTTAATATCGCAACATACGTGAGTTTGCAATGACTGCCTTATTAGTGATTACTATTATTTTCTCAGTACTTTGTGATTTTGTATTTCTTTAATATAAATTATTTAAGTATAATATCATACTTCCTTTAATTAAATATTATATTAATTTATTTATAAAATAATAGACGAGTCATATAATTAGTGTGTTATTATTGACTATGAATGTTTGACAATGAATAATTTTAAGAGAAATATAAAATAATTCGTGTTCTCTTGAAAAATTAATGATTATTTTATAAACTTTATAAATTACTTAACATATTTATATCTTTTTCTTTTTTTAGGGCAATTATATAGGCTAAATCTAACGTGCTCGTAAAAAAAAGTTGATAGCGTTAACTAAATTAAACTAACTTATTCTTATACATTGTATTATTATTACAACCTTTATAGCATTCAATATAATGTACTGTATAAGTCGTTATTATGCATTATAAAAGTATACTAATTACTTGTTCAAAAATAGACAAAATCAAAAACATATAAATTTATCAAAAAAGTGTCTGTGTGATTGCGAAGAATGTTATTGTAAATAAATCATATTCATATGAATTATATTAATCTATGATTGGTAAAATTGCTTTACGAACATATGCGCGTGTGTATGTGCAATTATTTAATGATATATTTTCTAAATAAAATTAATATTTTCATCATTTATATTTTAAAAAGGAATATATAAGATATTGTAAGAGAAATATATAATCAAAATCAATAATTGTGCATATAAATGCAAATAATGTTATTTATATCTAAAAATTTAATGAAATTACTTAACGTAAAACTAATTTTGTTTTTATTATAATTTTAAAGTATCAAAAGAATTTCTTGTTTAAATTGCGCGCGTAAAAGATACTAGAAAAATTTTGTTAGATATAATTATAGACTCAGTGATCCCATTTCTACGATAATTATCGTAACGTCACATAATTTGAAGCATTGTATGATCGTAAATCTAACTTGTACGATAATTTATGATAATTCGTCTCGTTTCGATTTTGTTTTTGTTTCGATTGCAGCGCAGCGCTTGTTCAGCTATTTATGAATCGTTGCATCGAAAAGTTCTGAAAAAGTTCAAAGTCATGGCCATACCATACGCTTTAGCATAATAGTATCGAAAAAAGAACGACAAGGACGACGATAAGACAAAAAAAAAGGTCATCAAAGTCGCGAAAATATACTTTTTAATACTTTTTATACTTTTTTTACACCAAAAAATCTGAAAATCCTGAAAATCTTCTGTGCGTACGATAATTTTACTGAGAACCCGATAATTTTACGGCACTGTGTCGATCAGACAAGCAAAAGTTTCTGAGATCATTGATTATAGTCGACACCATCTTCTCTGATATTGCACAAAGTTTCAAGTAAATTTGTTGATTTTTAATATAAAAAATATTGTGAGAAAAGGATGCGTTTGAAATTTATTTTTGTTTTTTAATTGAATTTTTTGCGTTATTTTATTAAAAATAATAAAAAAAACTTCTGGGGATTTTTTTTATCTTAAAACTACAAGGTTATGAGTGATACAAAATAAACAAAAATGATCGTGAACAGAACTAGAAATTATTTATCATTATATAAACTTTGATAACATAGTTATTTTATATTTAATTAATTGCTGTTTAAAATCAGTATAAAATAAATTGTTAAATCAAATTGATATTATAAAATAATAGTAAAATTAATTGATAGATAATTTAATATATAGATTGGAAACAAATATTATTATAGTTTATTCTATTTAAGCAACTTTTATAATTTTTAAGCAAATGTGGCAGTTCTAAGGAACCTTTGAATACAAAACTGACGTATTATTATAATAAATAAAAATGCATTGTATGGATATAGCCAAATGAAAATTTAACTACATTTCTACAAATATAGCACAAAATTGTATCTATGTTAATTAATACAAATATTTTTTTGTTTTAACCTTTTTGATACTACTAGTGATTATAGTCATCCATTGATACTTAGCATCAGTTTACAATTTTAAAAATTAAAATTTTTTAAATGCACTGCATTATATTTGATCTTTTATCTATTTTATGATAAAATGTTAGTGTTATAACTGGCCCATATAGTAGAATTTTATTTGCTATGTAAGTAGCCATATAGCGAAATCATACTTATGAATGACATAGTCTTATTGGAAGAGTTAAAAGACTAATAGGAGAAGTAATCATTGAAAGAAGTTATCGAATTTGAATGCTAAACTATTTATTTCTTCTTATTCAGAAATATTGCTTCAGATGTATTAATAAAACAGTATATGTGATAATGATATAAAACGTAAGCCAACTATAATTTCATTTTTATTACATAACATATTCATTTACATAATGTAATCTTGTTGACATATGTATTTTGCCTTATACGACACTTGCATAACATAAATTTTCTTTCTTCTTTTTTATATTTTTTTTAAATCAAGTATATCATATGTTGGATCTGTGATTTTTATATTATAAAATAATATTTTGTAAAATATCGCAATTGACTTTAGTCTGGTTTCTTAAAGGACAAGTTTAACTGATTTATTAATTAGATCAACTTTAAAATTGGTCCCAAATCTCATAGCCAAGAATACAAAATTATTGCAGAATGTATGATCGAATAAAAGTAGAAAAATTTTAATAAAACGAAATAAATACAATTTAAATCCGTTCAATACATCAAATGTTTTTATCAATATATATTACAGTTTTTTCATTTTATCACTTTATCATGGTATAATTGTAAAAAAATGCATTATCCAAAAAGAAAAACAAGAATATATAAAAAGATTGTTTAAAACATTTTAAAGTTTATCATTTTTTATCATAAGAAAATAATTGCACGTAATATAATTTATTATAACTAAATAAACGCATTTGAAGGAATTAAGTATAGTACATAACATATGAAAAAAAAATAAAAGTATTGTATATTAAAATAAAGTCTCATTAGGCGTCAATAAGTTAACATTAAATTCAAAATTTAATAACTTATTGTTGGAACATTTAATAAAAAACAAAAAATAACTTCGAACGTGATTGAACATGATCTATCTTTTTAAAAACAATATAACTTATTTTCGAAGTATCTTTCATATACGAAACATGTGTATGAACAGAGTTTGTATTTATCTTCTTTATATTGAAGAAAAAAACACCGCTCTTATCAAATAGATTATTTATAACTTTGAAATATAATAAGTATTAAAAGATATCAACATTACGTAATATAAACTAAATTCTAAAATAATCTAAAAATTAATAAAGAAAATAAAATAAAAAAGCAATATTAGAATTCTTGGCTAAAGATAAGGTATTTTTGTACGGTTGATCTTAGAGTTATAAATTTGATATTAACTATGGTAATTATGATGTATGATGACTTTGACGATAAATCATTATCATGAAATATGTGTCTGTATCATTTATTGCCACCTTGCACAGTCTCTGCTCATGTAGCACTCCACTATGTTTCTTGTTGATGGACATTTCACTTTCACCACTATTGGACTGGGCCAGTCTATTGCATACCACATGTATCAAACTGTATACATACTCAGTACACTAACTGGACTGTGAATTCTGTAAGCACATCATTATATAGTATTTTAATTGTTGAATATACAACATACTTCGTATAAGCAATTTATGAAAAATAGAGTTAACGCATTTGTTAAATTTGTTTATATATAAATATATATATATGCATTATCATAATTTAGTTATATATAAATAATTTATTAATAATACGTTAAGTTTTTCTAATATCTTAACTTTGTAAAAATTAAAAATATTTACAAAACTTACTGTATTTCTTAAATCAATTTTCACATATACATATGTTTCTAATTCCAATTACAACTGTTATAATTTTTTCTTTTTTTAACATCATACAGAGTGATTAATATAGCAATAAAGCTTAATAACATTCAATCATGCTAGTTAGTTTAGAAGAAAAAGCTTTTCAATGATGCTATGTTAATTTCAAATGATGTGCTTAAGTATTGTAAATATATAGCTTCTCTATTAATACATAAAATAAAATATATATATATATATATTAATATATTTCCTACGACTCGTCTATCCACGATTATATAATGCAAGAAACAACTATATTTCTTCGAACATAAATTAATATAATATTTATAGTTAATTAATTAGAACCAGTACGTTATAAAGAATGAAAAATTGAATATTTGGGAAAAATGATCGTAATGACAACTAATCGGGTCATATAAATTTTAATTGCTAAATATTAATGACCATATTGTTTCAATAAAATTAATTAAAAAGTACTATTATTATAAAATGTTATGAATATTGATTAGAAACAATGATTAATAAATTACTGGTCTTTTTTTTGTTTACGAATATGTCTACATGGTATCTGAGGTTTTTCCATCCAAACAATGTCAGTATATTTTATGTATATTTCTTATTTTAGTGCATAAAATACGCTGAAATACTGTATTGCTAGAGAAACCTTAGACATCCTTGTATATTTAATACAATCTTTATTAATATAGTCCTATTTTAATTAATATATGTTTTAGTTAGACTATGAAAGAAAATAATATATTTTAATGAAATATAGGATCTTTATATGACAGTATTATAAAATGTTAAATAATTATATTAATTGTACGCTAATTTGAAATAATTTGATTTGATTTCATTGATTTTATATGATATTAAAAACATAAAATTACAGAATAGGACTATAAATAAAGAAAGCTTGTCTATGTAGAAAAAAGAATTGTAATTCACATTCAAGTTAAGATCAAAGACCTTGTTTATTTGAAACTACTTTTAAATGTTTGTTCTATAGTAAATTATATTTCTACTTATATATACAGTAATCCTTCTGTTTATATGGACTTACTTTAACGTGTTTAAGCTACCAGAACTCAAATGTCATAAAGATGCGTTATGTGAACATTGGGGATTCCCTAGTGTAATTTATTTTGTAATTGTGTAAACTTATCTGCAATTGCATATGAATCTAAAGTTTAGAGATCAAATTTACAATAATCCAGTCATTAAAAAAAAGTGAGAAAATGAATCATACTACTTGGTTGTATAATCTGAATGAATCCACAATTCGCATAATTAAAAAAAATGCTGACGCTTTTTATTATTCCATTTACGCGCTCTTTTCATGGAACCAATTACTCGTATAAATGGAGGGATTACTATAGATATATATTTATATATGTATATACATAAACCCCACAGAATTAAGAATTTCATAATATTTTACATATAAATAGGATAGTTAAAATAATAAGACATTAATAAAAATTAAAATTTATATATATTTAAGGGATATTTCTTGTTTTTTTTGTAGATGTAAATCAAAAATAAAATGGAATTTATATTTGTTTGTTTGTTATACTTATTATTAACTTCACAAAACTTATCTCACGAATTTATTTTAGTTTTCCCAAAAATGCTTTAAAATAATTTATTTTTATTTATTTTTTTATTTGTAAAGAGAACTATATTGTGATCATGAAATATTATATATAAAAGCCAAAAAATTGGCTAAATTACATTTGTCCAATTGTTCACAGTTTATACGATTAATTCTATTTAGAATATCATTGGTTAATTAATTGCTTGAAAATATGTAAAATTATAAAGATAAATGTTAAATTTTCAAAAATAAATGGTTAGAAATGTTTTACAACTGAGAGAGAGAGAGAGAGAGAGAGAGAGAGAGAGAGAGAGAGAGAGAGAGAGAAAGAAAGAGACAGAGAGAGAAAAAGAAAGAAAGAGACAGAGAGAGAGAGAGAGACAGAGAGAGAGAGACAGAGAAAGAGAAATATTATTTACTCTCCGACAGAATAGTAATGTATGTGCGGAAAATATTTCGTATATCATAAGTAGATGATATATTAAATGTTTTCCCACAATTACCTATATTATCTGAAATTCAAAGTATCAATTATCTTCAAACTTAAGATTTTAGAATATTCACTTGTTTAGTAAAAATAGACCATTATCCTACGATACTTGAAGTGTATATATTGTACTTTAATATATTATTTCAAAATAATCTATTCAATTTTTTAAATTTCAGAACAGCTTCTTATAATCGAAAATGGTACGTACTTTGGTACATCTATGCTACAGTTTTAAATTAGTGGATAGCCTTGAAAATTAGTTTCTGTTTTGTTAAAAAAATACTAAAAATTTATATTAAAACGCAGTGTTTATGTATGATATTCTTATCGTTCGTATTAATTGAATACTTATCTGTAGTTTTCCAATTATACAGTTTCATTCATAGCTTTCGTATGAATGAAAATTATTGTAGTATATATATATATTTGTTTTTTTAATGATAAATAATATTATTACAAACTCACATTACTTTTAATTTCATAACAAATTTATGTGCATTTATTTTCTAATGCATAAAGCATACAATTTAATGTATAATTGAAAATGAAATTAGTTTAATATATTGAGTGAATATATTTAATTAGAGAAACTAAAATCAAGGCCATCGTGATCGCCACGACTCTACCACTTAAATTTTACAATTACCAGAATAAAATATGAATACACACTTTCATAGACATAACTTTATGCATATATACAGAGACAGTACTCCTAAATCTAGTGATCAGTTTTGCTACCCTTTTTGTTCTTTTTAATTCTAGTATTCCAATAATATGAAATATATAATTAATAACAATATACATGCATATGGAACAGATTTTGATTAAAGAGTAGCAAACATTGACCGAGAAGTAAATATTTTGAGTGTGAATCCCTCTAGGGCTACAAAAATATATAAATATATATAGTTAATATTATGCATTTTTATCAACGTAGAGCGAGAGGGTGTTACAGAAATACTCTACTAAGTTTATTAGGAAGGTAATAAAACTTCGGATTATAATAATACCAATGATTATACAATTTCATGATTATTATTATTATTAAAAAATAATATTATTTATTTTAAATGTTTCGAAAACAATGTATTTTACGTGTCACACACAAATAAAATATAAGAAAAGAATAGAAAACAAAAATACAAATAAAATTATTTTTAATGTAAAAAAATATTTTCTAACGAATATTTTTCACAATGATGTGTGTTATAGAGATTCTTTAAATTTAACTTTTATCTTGCAATAATCTTTTTATGATTACGCGTTTTATTTATTGATTACTTCTTTGCGTTGTGCGGTTTAAAAAATAAAGTAAAAAGAAATAACAAAAAATATGATTTACACACGAGCATTTCTTAGTATAATATCTCTAGACCCTCTGCATATATAATATAACTGTAATATAAACATTTTCTTTTTCATTTCCTGGATAAAGAGAAATTTATAAAATCTAACAATAGATAGTGATAATTATTAAAATCAGCGAAATTCCAATTTTAATTAGAATCAGCTGTAGGACTTGCAATATGCATTCTCAGAAATTCATCTTAGAATGCACAATGTAATAAGTTATTATTTCAATTCTTTTTTATTCATTTTATATCATACTCGTTAATAAAGTTCCGTGTGTATTCCTTAAATAATTCAAGTTTAATATTCATTAACCAATATTTTTTTATATTGTAATAATAATTAAAAAAAAAAATAAAACTAAATAAAAGAAATCTTGAATTGACATGTTTTTTCTTTGTTTTTTATTATTATTAATTATCATTATTATTATTGTAATTATTATTATTATTACGACTTTGCAAATTCTATTACTGAATTGAAGTCTAGATGAGATATATATAACAAAAAGATAAACGTTTAAAATGTAATAACAGGATATAATTAAGTAAAAAATATTTCTTACGTGTAAATATTTTCAAGGTTCGATTCATATCTTTTTTTTTTGTAATCCCCTATCACCATGCAACTCTTTAAGACCTAACATGTTCTTCAAATTATTCATTCTTAATCGTAATATGTTTAAACTCATAGCAGACACATTAATAATAATTATTATTATTTTGTAAATAAACAAAGAAAATTTTTCGACTTTTTTTTCTTTTTTTTTTTTTTTAAATATATATATATATATATATAATACTATATATATACATATAGTATTATTTTTTTTAATTTTCTTTAACGCATTTATGTGTATATTTACACACACTCTCACACACACACACATGCACGTGCGCGTATTTAGTTTACTTTTTTTTTTAGAGTCAGAAATATTGTGATTCTTTATTTTTCTTTTTTTTCATGTTTGCCAAATTATACAGTACTGCGATTAAATATAAACTCGATAATAATTTTTTAAGTCTTTCAAGTTAGGACATAATGATTGCCATGGAAATAATTTGATTTCGAATTAACCGAATGACTTAAGTGAATGAAAATGTAAATCAGTGCATTATCTTTTTCATTAAAAACAAATAATTTTATAAACAGAAGCATACCCATTACCTAATCAGTCATTAATTAGAAATTTTAACACATTATTGACTGGCAATTTTTCTTAGAATTTATCTCATGTCACCGGCTATTATTTCATAGTATTTTGGAAGTAAAACATTATAAATAAACTTTATTCATTATCTAACTTTTAATATTTTTTCGTATGATAAACAGTGTAACAATCACCTACGCATAATGCTACACAAAAGCTTTTACAAATATATTTAGTTTTGTTGCGTTTCCTTTTAAATAGCGTGATGCGAAGAAAAAGCGCATCACGCGTTTACTCATGGCTTGTCAGCAATGTTTGGCCATGAAAACACGAGTAAATTCGTAACTGATCAACAATGTTTTAAAGAGAGAAAGTAGAAAAAGATTAGCTAAGTTTATGATTATTCGCAGTACCATATAAAAAATATTTTTAATCTACGCTCTAATTACAAGCAGATTATTTTTCGTTCAGTTTCAATTTGTGTTTATTATATATCAATTATTTCTTGCTCTTCTAATACAAAAAGAAAAAAAATTATAAAAGAGAAAAAAAATAAGAGAAAGAGGAAAAAAATGCATACCCACGAGTTATCAGTATCAGTAAAACAAATGTTTTTCTGGTTTAAAATCTGCATCATCATATGAATGAAAACGGGATAAGTCTATTAATTATAATTGTACATTTGATGCAGTATAAAAAAATGTTCACAAGTTAGTCATGTCAAAGGTTTTCGTATATAAGACTTACAGTATTCGCTTTTTTAGGACATGCTTCTCGAAACACTTGTTCAATCAAAGGTTGCCTATAATAAAAAGAAAATTATAAAATATTATTGTTTGTAATACACGAACTCAGTTTGAAATTTGTTAATTTTTAGCTAATTTGTTCTTATTTATATAGACAAACTTTTTATATAACGTTAGTAGGGAAATAATGCGTATAATATTAGGAAGAGATAAAATAATTGGATTCTTGCCTAGAAGATCTAATTTTAATCAGGAAATGGGCCAAATTTGTAGAAGACTAAGATATCTTAAGTGCTTAGTGATAAAATTAAACTATATAATTGGACTAGAGTTTTGTCACAAAAGGCGACTACTATGAAAGTTTTATTTTCATACGAAAGAGATAATATGAAGAAAAATTGAAAAAAAAAAAAGAAATATTGTAAATAAAATAATACTCACTTAGATTGAAGTCCTCCTCCGGGAGGTAGATTGGGGAACTGTTGGTCCACAAGAAGTTGTATTAGTTTGATGAAATCGAACTTCTCCTCTTCTTCTTGTTCCGCTACTATTTCTATGAAAGCAATTAAAAAATATTAGTATAATGTTCAACCACTTAACTTTAAGAAATTAAATGCATTCCTATTATTTTTGAAATAGTGAAAATATGAATAAAATAGTAGATTTTAATGTTGCAAATATAAAGAAATACTGCTTATAGTGGATATAAAACATTTTTATTAGGTATATCAATATATCACACAGAAAAAAGGAATTGATTGTTTGAATAATTAGAAAGAAGAAAAAAAGAAAATTAATAATTATCGGAAAAATTAAAAAATTGGTATTAATAATTTGATAAAAACATCTATAACACGAAACACATCAAATATATGCTATAGAAAAATAATTGTAATGTTTAAGAATCCTATAGATTGAAAAGAAACAAACACAGTTGCTGTTATTTAGTTTATGAGAAAAAGTAAAGAAAACATGTGTGTAAATATTATAACTTCCATGCAGTATTTTCTTTCTATTATAATATAAAGATTTAAATATATATATAAATATAAAAGGAAATATATTCCTTTTATATATATACACACACACATACATATACATACAAATATAAAAGGAAATATATTAACTAGATTTACATTCTACACATGCATCTACTTAGGACTGGAATAATATATTTTACAGTACATTTCTTATGGGAATATATGAAGCATACTCCGGTCTTAAGTAGATACATTGATATCGCGTTTTTCTTGTGATTATACTAGTATATATATTTTTCTCGATTGTTTTACTTTTATATCCACCTCTGGAATTGTCAAGTGCAAATCCTTCTTCCTCCTTCTCACCCCTTATTTACATATATTTGTAAGTTGCCATGTTCCTCCATAAGAAATGCATTGTTTGCAAAAATAACATAAAAACATTATGTGAAGTTCCTCTAGACTTGTTTTAAAAATGTTTTTCACCTACCTGCTACATTGCTTTTTACATGTACATATCAAGAGAGAGGAACAAACAACTTCCTTAATTATAACTGTTACTTTTTTGTTTTCTTTAAAACATATTTTTATTGTCTAGGCACCTGTCAACTCCAAGGGTGGAATATAATATCTCTAAATAATAATAATCTTGTATTTGAAGTAAGTTTAATCTTTAAAAAATTCAGTATATTACAATTTTCTAAATTGATATATATATATAAATGAAAAGTTTTAACTTGTATCAGCAAAAAAAGTACACCGTATTATGGTGGACTTTTTAAAGAAGATATATTTCATCTTATTGCCACATGAGTAGCAAGCACATTATTTATATATCATAAGGTTTATCGTTTCTCGATTTAGATTAAATTTCAAGATAATAGGTGAATGGTAATAGAGTTAATTATTCCTATTTGTATGTAAGATAGTTATGAGTTATCAAATTCCAAGGACAAATATATATATATGTATGAGAAAATTACGTTAGATATATAATAACGTAGATCTTATTCATCGTCTACTTTACTTTACTTTATACATAGCATCAAGAATGATTTTTCAAAATATGACACTTTTTAAATATATACGACAAATCTTAGAGAAGATTATAATGGAAAAAATTGTTATATTAGACTTTATACAAATAATATTGGTCCATTATTTATATACTATTGTTATAGAGTTAGAAATGTACTAGCTTTATTCATAAATATTCTTCTTGTAATTTAGATATCTCTACTGTATAAATATGACTTTAAATTGTAAGTTAATTTTAAAAAGAAAATTTATATATACGTGCACGTGCACGTAATACTTATATAATCAGAATATTATTGTAATAATTGACGAATTTTTGTTTATATATATATATAAAAGATATATATATCTTTTTCTTGAACTTCAAGATTTGTACATAATGTTTCTATATTGCACGAATCGATTATCTTTAAATATATGATTATTTTAATAAATACTAAATAACTCACATATCTTAATAAATTGCTATTAAATATCGATAAGAATTTGTAGGATTTAAAAATACAGAAAAATGAATCGTCTAGATATTCAATTTCTTACTTTAGAACTAAATCTTATAAGGAATGTCATGTGTGACATTGTGATCTGGTATTAACACAACAACAAAAAGAATATAATGAATGTGTATATGGAAAAGAAAAAGAACCTTTAATACTCCTTTCAATGGCTATTTCCAGTTCAGCTTCCTTTTCCTGTGCTTCGGAATTTGGTTTTGGCGCCGCGGGGAACGTTACCAAGACAATACTCATATTGTCTCTGCTACCCTATAATAATAATTTTTATTTAGTAAGATAAATGTTAATATTAACCTCTTGTACTATGATTTGATATATGGGGTTATGTGTCAAAAGTGTGATATATATATACATATTTGAAATAGACATAGAAATTTACAAAAAATCTAACAAATGTTGAAATTAAACTTCATGTAATTAATAATGGTAAAATAAAAAAGAATAGTATACCAATGTTTATGTACGATATATGATAAATATAATCTTACCTTGTAAAGACATGTGTCTATGACTTGATTTGTCACTGCTTCTAAATCATCCGTAAGCAATAGCCTTGATCGTATAAAACCACATAAGTCTTCATTATTCATAACATCCCAAATACCATCACATGCTAAAACTAGAAATTCATCGTGTTCATCATCTCTGTCTCTTACGAATATTTCTGGTTCTGGTGACACTAACTGTTCGCAGGGGCCCCTATCTTTTAAATTTTTATATTCGTAGTCTCCCAATGCTCTTGATACTGCCAATGCACCATTTACTCTTTGTATCATGACACTGCCACCTGCATTCTGTATTCTTTCTTTCTCTGCAGCTAAAAACGGTTTATGATCTCTAGTAGAGAATACCGGGCATCCAGCACTGCAAAGTACTGCTCTGGAGTCTCCACAATTAGCAATATATATATTTCTGGGAGATATAAATGCACAGACAGCTGTCGAACCAGATTTATCTTTTCCATCGCTCATCTCTGGTAAGTCTCTCATTTCAACATCAAGCTGAAGAAAACCAGAATGTATTGCCTTAATGACATCCTCTGCTTTGAATTCTTCAGTCTTCATAATGCACTCTAACAAATGCTCTGCACTGTGCTCTGATACCAATGCCCCTGCATGCCCGTCAAACACAGCAAAATAACTCCAATCAGAAAGGCCACCTTCCAAGCCGGTTATTGCTCTATGAGCATCTTCCATTTCCAATCGCCAACCCTGCATACTGGAGACGCCGTATCGTAATCCATTACCAGCCCCATGTTCATTATATTTATCTGTTTTAGGAGTATCCAAAAATGCCCCCATAGTATTTGTCGAATACTTTTTACTTTGGTTAAAATAATCAATTTTCTTGAATATTATTTAATCAGCATTTTTCCATGTACAAGGATCTAATGCTTTTTTTCGCTTTATCTAAAATAGCAAGAAAAAAAGATACTTTAGTTAACCTTTATTCTTTTTTATTCATTATCAAAATGAACAGTCAATGTTATTGCGTTTTATTGATAACTTTATCCAAGGAGTATCGACGATTAGTATCACGTTTGAAAAAAACGTTTCGTATGTACGATGATCTCAGAAACGTGCACTTGTAAGATTACCATGAACAAACTTGGCCTTAAAAATGACACGTCAATAGACATTTAATATTCCAAACATTAACTGATTCCTTTACCCGTTCGAATAGAAATGATAACAATCTAATAGAATGAAAGTAAGCGTGTAAAATGTAAAGAGCCTTTCATTAAAATGTTCTTAAGGTACGCGTTAATAATCATGGACTGGAACGATCGGTTACCGGCGAATGTACCGCCAATAATTCCTAAATATTCCAAATACATCGATTGAATTAGTTAAATATTTATTAAAAATAAAGAAACGTAAGCTCTAGTAGACACAAGCGGTGGAATATTATTACGAGAACAATTCGTTTACGGCAACGCCAAAATTTCGCTACTAAAATAGTTTTACTTTAACTGGCTGGCTCATTCGTGGAAATAAAAAAAATAAGAAACTTACTTGTTGAGATTTTGGCCAAATATCATCGTTACTTTTTTTGGAAGAGTATATTATTCGGTTATATGTGCGTTACAGCGTGCGTGATATTACGCTAATCGACTCGTTCCATGTTTTTCCAAATGCACACGAATATGTATTACCATCGCCAACGTACCCCTTTGCTCTAAGCTCACACACACACACATACACATACACACAGTACACGAAATCGACTTACGCAAATGGCGGATCAACCTTCGCGCTATTTATTAATAGCCAAGCGTCGTGGCGTCATCTTTAACCAATCAAAATCACGGAATTATTCTTACGCGCGGACTAATTCAAATTATTTTTATTCTTCATGGTTGAAGACTATATATTTATGAAAACAAAATTAAAATTTTAATTAAAAAATATTTGAAAATTTATGTTCAGATGTATATATGTTTTTTTTTAAATATTTTCTAAGAAATATTAATTATTTTTAATTAATGTAGAAGTGTCACGTGATTTTGGTTTGTCGTTTGTTTGCACGTGTCAAGATAATTTTAATAATAAATAAAATCAATATTCTTTCGTTTACCATATTGTACAATTCTAATTTTATCTCCAATGATTAATTATTATTCTAAACTTTTTTTTTAAGTGAGTACATATTTATTACAATTATTGGTCGATAACTTGTTTTTGGTTACAATAGGTTTGCTTTCGATTAGTGTGAGTTTCCCATCTTAAAGTACTGCTACAATCGATGGATATTAATTCTTACAAATAAATTCTGCAGAAAAATTTATTACATAGAATCTTTTAAAAATGATTGATTTTCGCGATGATAATGTAAAAACTATTAATCGAAAAATTGATAATAAATATATACCACGTAAGTATGCAACAAAATTTGTGATATTCTTTTTTAGAAAATAAGTATATATTTTACATTTATATTATCAACCTAATCTAGATATTTGTGCAACGTGCTTGTTGGTATAATTTTATTATTGTTTAAAAAAATAAATTAGAAATTGCATACAATTAATTATCATCCATCTAAACATAATTGCACATTATTTGTAATAATTTATATACTATCTAAATGAAAAAAACAATTAATTTTTTGCAAGAAAAGAATATTATTATCCATTTATGTAAAATATTTCCAATATTTTTGAGAAGAGAGATCTTTTTTAATTTAACATTTAACTCTGAAATTTAGTGTTTGTTCAATTTATTAACCTATTAGGTTCTTTATTTTTAACTTAGAACTAATTAAAATAAAGTTTGTGATAAGTAATATAAATAGGTGAATTTTTTTTAGTTTGTTACAAAATTTGTTCGTTTTGTTTTTTAGTTACTCCACAAGAAGGATTAGCACCACTTAGTCCATATTTAAATTTTGATCCATCGTATCTTCCACCACGAGATCCACAGTACATATTTCCAGAAGGTGCTGTAAAACAACGAGGACGTTTTGAGTTAGCTTTTGGTCAAATAGGTGCTGCATGTATAATAGGAGCAGGTATTGGTGCTAGTACCGGTTTATATAGAGGGATTAGGGCAACAGCTTTAGCTGGACAAACCGGTAAACTCAGAAGAACACAGTATGTACTTGTCTTATTTTATCAGGTTTTTACTTTATCTTAACCTCTTGTGTTATGATTTAATACACAAAACTGCATACCATATTCAATGTTAAAGTACCAATTGTTAAAGTGCAAACGATTAATATATTATTTATTAAATTAATAAGTATTTTCATAGAACGTATGTATAAATACAAAGTCATGTATATAAGATATTATGTCTGTTTGTTCATAGGTTGATTAATCATGTTATAAAAAGTGGATCAGCTCTAGCAAATACAATGGGAGTAATAACGGTAATGTACAGTGGTTTTGGTGTTCTTTTATCTTGGACAAGAAGTACAGATGACTCCTGGAATACATTAATAGCAGCAACAGCAACTGGCATGTTATTCAAATCAACAAGTGTGTAACTTCTCATTATTATTGTTTATAACTGATCTATATTAATTTATATTACATAATCTTATTAACATAATTATGTTAAAGGTGGTTTAAGGAAATGTGCTTTAAGCGGCTGCCTCGGACTAGGAATAGCATCGTTATATTGCTTATGGAATAACAGGAATTCACTTTCACAGTTAAGATATGGTGTTAATCCAGCATAAGATTGTGTGTATAATTGCGGAAAGTCCTTTAGTCAAATTTTATCTACCCTTAACTGCTCCTTGTTGTGTCCCATTCTCGCATTAAATAAACGTTAAATATTTCAATGTATCTTTAACTCTTGAGATGCATAGAAATAAAAATATTCGTCTATTTTTTTTATTTTATTGTCTTTTATGTGCTAGTATATACTGGTAGTCGTATATAATATAGTAGTTATTTAACATAATCAATTAATATATTAACTATTTCTAATTGTAAGTATAATTATTCCAAATTTACAATATTTCAGGATGTGAATGAATTAAATGTACTAATATTTACATTTCTTATATAAATATTTGAAATGATCAAATATTACCAAAATAACGAATATTGATCAGATGTATACTATTATATACTATGAAAGACACAAATATAGTTTATATTAGTTTATCGATACAGGCTCTTAAGAAATATTTTCTTTTTTTTTGCAGATTGAAATGACGATTCAAGTTTGTCAACGACTAGAACAAAATTTCGTAATAAATTGTAACTTTATATATTATAAAAATAGAAAATCTAATCGATACGTCTGCATAAAAACAAACAAATTATTATGAAAGAGAAATTCATGCAATTTAGGAATGCACAAATTGTATGATGTATGTATATACATATATATATATGGTACGTGCGTGTATATGTATATATATTTATTATTACATCGATTAGTAAATAGTAATTTATTTTTATTTTGTGCGTTGCCTTATATCTATTTATCATATTAGTATAAAGATATTTACACTTAAACTTATTATTACTTAAATAAAACAATTTTCTTGTCGATAAAGAAATAGACAAAACAATAATCATTTTCGCCTTATCAACAAATTCACTAGTTTCTATTTGATCATTAAAATTAAGCAACAATAGTACTTGGATAGGTAACCGCTTTGGAACACAGAGTGCTGTCAACTCCAGGGAGGTGACTCAGGATAACGATAAGCTGTTGTCAAAGTCTCTTAAACTCATAAAAGAAAAAATAATATAGACAAGACATTATCAATTAGAAATCTTGATCAAAAAATTATTTTATAAATGGCTATTTATTGTTGCTTGCTTTTTAAAACTATTTCTTTTTAATATGCATTTTCATTTGTTTATTTAAAGTTTTATAAAAGACTAGATATAGTTTCTAGGGTATCGGTAAAAGAATTAGAGGTATTGCGACATAATCTTATCTGTGCTTATCTCAGAATATTACAGAGTGATATAAAATAACGGTTTCATTCATACGGATAATCGGAAAATATTTTCTATATCAACTATTGTATTTTATTTTGTATTATTTTAAATTATCTTTTAAATATGATCAATTAAGTAGTGGATTAATTAAGTGTTATAGTTTCAAAAAAGGATGATAGATACTCTGAGTAAGAAGACAAATATGTGTCAAAATCTATATTAAATAACACAAATCTATTAATATAATCTTCTGTGTGTGATGAGTCATTTATAATAAGAATTGTTACATTAGTTCAATAAGAATATTTTTTTATTGAGATACAATTTTCGTCATATTGTAAAATGCAATATTTTGAAAGAGTGAAAGAAATAATCAATAATGTATACTCATGACACATCTATACAGCATATACATTCTACGCATGATTATATATATATTTTAGGAGCGTCAAAATGCAAAGATCAAATATTTGAGTTTTAATCTTTCAACGATCTTTTCCGCCGCATTGGAAGAACCACCACTAAGGACTAAGATTTACGCATACGCGTAGCTTATTTCAACGTGAAAAATAAGAGGAAATATATTCGTTAAAGTATTCACCTCTCTGTATAAATGTGATTTTACTTATTCGATGAGACATTCGACCAAATGCTATCTGATTAGTTTACATTACGATATTTTGAATCCTTTACGCGCTTCTTAAAGTTTACATTTTCTATTTGTTATTTTTCAAGACTATTTATTATCGATTGAACAGAAATATCTTTGCTTCTGTTAAACCTAAACGCGTTTATATATATGCGTGTAAATTAAAAAGGTGAATATATTCAAATATTCATTATTCGTTGTATTATATGCCCTTGTTTTCTCGGAAGTGAATCTTATGTGTGATATTTTTTCTTTTATACAAAAATATTAGCGACGTCGTTCATCTACTTCTTTTTTTCTTTAAACTTCAGTTTTGCAAACTATACTAAAGTTTACAGTATCCATAAACGAAGATGGATATATAATGCATTCTGAAAATAGATCTGTCGATAGTATAAAGATGTACGGAAAGGTAGTAACTTCAAAAATATTTATTCATTTAAACGCAGTTCTGAACATCGTACAGTGAAAATTGACGTAAAAGTTACTCAGTTTTTTATTTAATACAGTGATTTATAGTTGTGTGTTTGTAGTAAAATTATTATTTAATTATTATATTAATCTAATGATAAATCGATATTTGTTGAAATTTGTTTAAATAAATTACGTACGTCCGGAAAGTGGCACATTCGTGTTTCAAATAAAGGCGCGAAATCAATTGAAATTTAAAAAATGTTAACGTAGTCCCATATGTATGAGAGAGATAAATATATAGTAATGATACAAATTAATTTCAAACAAGTACACATGTATACACAGATGCTTAACAATATAATCTTTTCAAATGTATATTAATTATAAGTTCAAAATTCACAATTACATTAATTTTTTTCTTTGTAGATTTCGTGAATTTGTCATCCACCGAACGAAGTCAAAATATAAAAAAAAGGTGTGACTTTTATGATCATGCCATCAAAATGAATGAATAATGTATGACTTGAAATATTGTTTATCGTGGAAGTAGAAAGTTATAATAAGAAAAGAACAGATATTTGCAACGATGAAAACTTCGCAAGCAGAAACTCTTCTCGCGATATTGTATACTGCTTCGGTGATATTTGCGATAATATCTTTAGCATCTCTCGCAATTATTTGGCAACATTGGGAAATGACATTAGATGGTTGCATTAGTGTTAATTGTGGTTGTATATTGTATGGTATTAATACGTTTAGCACATTTATGGGAGGAAATATAAAACTTTGCCATTATGGTGTCTACGGACTCCTTCCTGCAATTATAATTGGCTTGTGCCTCAGTATTTATCATATTTACAGATGCTCTATTAATCGTGGCCTTGATGAGCCCAGGTCAATGAATTATAACAACAACAGGTATACTAATTAATTATTATCGCTTTCTTACCTTTATTTTCATCTTAACATAAACATTTCTTTATTAGTCTGGTTAACAAAATATTTGTACAAACTACGTCATATTTTTGTCATTTCCGCCATTTCCTTCTTGCGTACGCATGCGCAGTACATCATCATTAATATTCGGTTTTTAAATTTAATGATCAGGTCAAATTCGATATTATAATATTTAAGATGCTTTATGTTTTGTTAAAGAGTTTTAGATAATTATATTTATGATATCATCTTAATGTTTTATAATATTAATTATGAATTTTGTAGAGCCACTATTAATGGGCAAGTTGTTGTAATTGGCCCAAAAAGAAGAGCTCCATTTAAACAATGGATACCATCAGTATTTTGCGCTGCTTTGATTGGCTGTTTATCGCTTGCGCATGCAGTTATCACAACCGATGGTTTTTTTAAAACTTGTGAACAATATAAAAGAGCTCTGATACAACTTTTGGGTTCTAGGGGACGTGAAGCTCATGTAAGATTTATTTCTTGTTTTTTATTTATTTTAATTAGAATAGAATATTATTTATTATAATATTTTGTTAAATTCTTGAAAAAGAATAATAAATAAATGTATTTTTTATCTGTTAGGTAATTCGATATAGACTTGGTTGCAGTGCAATTTTTGATTACATGGATTATCTTCAACCGGATGCCAATAATTTTAGACGGGGAGAAGAATTAAATACAGGTTTTGCATTACAACTCGCTATTGTTTGTACATGGCTTAATTTTTTTACATGGGTTTTTATATGCGTTCTCTCTTTCACTATGGCAAAAAAGAAACTCAGAACTTCTGGAGAACACTTTTGTTGTTTTTAAATTCATTTTCTTATTGAAGTATTATATCGTTTAATATCAATTTACAAAATCTATTTTGATCAGCGATAAATGATTCGTTTTGTTTGTCTATTTATATTAAAATTTATTATCGTTCTATTATATATATATATATATATATATTGATACAAATATAAAACATATTAATTATGATACAATTTATTTCAATGCTCTATATTTCAATAGATACAGTGAAAATATTATTAATACATAATCGTTTATGTACATCGTCGTGTAATAACTATTCATTTAGAAAAAATATCAATTAAAATTGGAGTATAACTGATAAATGAAATTAATTAATTAAACAAACAATTTAATTTAGCAATATGAAATCATGAAATCTATAATATCGTGTAATAGAAATAACTAATATTATTTTTTCAAATGTATTCTATTTTGAGTAGTTAAATAAAAGTACCGCTTTGATAATGAAAAAAAAAACAGGAATGTATCATTTTGATATTATTAACACATTGATAGCCGGCCCCGCGAAAACGCGGGATTCCGAGTCTATCGTTTGAGCGACGACCCAGAAATGTAGCGGAATTTTTTTGCTTTTATGAGTGACTTACATATTAATTTACATTTTTAATTAAAAAAACAAAACGTATATGATGGTTTGGAAACAATTAAATATTTTCTTTAGCTACTCGTTGTTTAGAAACTCGCATTAAGTCCGGCGTTAGGGCTTTTATAGCTGAAACTTGCCGGCGTTCAAGTGTTAAATTTCTTATATGTCGCCGGCGCTTAATGTGTTAATGTGTTAAAAGGTTAATTTCAACTTAGAATAATGGTATTTTTGTTTTTCTTTACGTTAAAAAAGACATTATTTTGTTTTCTACATCATATTTTAATATTTTCTTAGCACCTATTGTTTACAATATATAAATACTGTAAAGAACGACGGGTTTTAAGGCCGACGAATACTAGATTGTCCTAGTATACAGAACAGCAGAAAATATAAATCCTTAAAATGCACAAGAGTTACTTACTTAATTTATTAAATAAAATAACAACTTGATAATTAAGAAATTTCTATATATTCTATTACTCGAGTTATATTATTTAAAATAGCTAATGAATATATATTTTTTATTATTATATATAATTTTGTATACATCATTTGTAACGTAAATTTTCTCATATTATTTGTGCATTTCAAAGATTTTTCTTTACTGATATCTTGTATATATTTATACAGATTTAAATAATTAATTTCTATAGTATTCAAATTCATAATTGTTCTTATATAAAGTAAATTGATAAATACATTCGCACATTTAATTTCTATTATTACAATTATTATTATTATTATTATTATTACTATTATTTTTTTTTTTATCTTTTCTGAGAACTTTACACTTTAATAACAGTTTGTGTTGCAAAGGTTTTGCAGTAATGTATAGGAACTGAATGGAAAACAATTTTCGGACGTTAAATCTTACATTAGTAGACATAAAATTGACTCAGTTTGTTTGATAATATCAGTAATCTTACTCTATACAACAGCAGATAGTACAAGCTTGAATGGCTACATAATAAATGAAGGCACCTAATTATATGCGAATTAATATCTACATTATGTTGCATCATATGTATGCTATGTATATGTGTGTATTTATATATATGCAGCGTATAGAAATATTAGCTATAGACATTTCTATTATATTGTCTCCTTTTTTAAATAGTTAACTAAATTTTATTCACAGATACAATAGATATTTTTTAAAGGCGCAGTATTAGCAACGAGGGATGATATTTGAATAAATAAGCTAACAGATATTAAGAGCTGTTAATTATTCTTATCTCAAAAAATAACAATTTTTCCAAGCTCTCATCAGCAATTTTTAATTTATAAATATCAATTGTTAAGAAAGTCGTTAACAAAAAGCATGAAATACACTACATACATATAAGGCAAAAATTAGCAATAAGGTTCAAACAATATCATTTTCTTAACTAATTTAATATCTTAAATATTTTGATATCGCTAAGAATTACAATTTGTTATCTTATATATGAAGAAAATGTACATGTATATTTTATCTTGGTCTTCAAATAAATTGATCTTTTTACAAAAAACGTGCAAATATAATTTGTGTTAGCGATCAGACAATATTATTATTATTACAGTATTAATGACATACTAAAAGTTATTTATTTAATATCATCTAATTTATTACTGTGACTGTTAAACAACAATTCAGTCTTACGTAATAAGGCAATATTTTAGGCAAACCAATGAAGACAAATACAGTTTAAATATTTTTCTTTTTTTTTTTAGTATTACTTAATCGCATATATTGTAGAGTTTTGATTAGGACCTCATAGAAATGTCCTTAATGCTATTATCTGCGCCTTTATAAACTGTGAAGTTCGTAAGCTATGTTTATTTTTCTTTTTTTTCCCGAAAGGAATATATTTTATCACATAAATTCCTATCGTGAAAAATATTATTTTATACAATACACACTCTCGTCGTATATATTACGACAAAATTGTATATATTTTATAATTTTATTCATGTATACATGTAACTAATATCTTTACAGAAAAGTTTTTTTTTAAAAAAGATGTATCGTAACAGCTAATTTTTTGCAAACCGTACTAATAAATATCTACAAATTTTTCAAGTATAAATGTAGTGAAAATGCTTAGCTGCAAAAATAGATGCGTGAGAAATTCCTCTACCAAATTTTTTTTTCTTTTCTTTTTTTTTCTTTTTTTTTGGTATTGAGCTGCCAAGTTAAACAACTTGGTTTTGTCTAAAAACATCTTGGAAAGTATCTATATATATATTCTTCATATAAATTAATATTATGTATATATATATTACTTTTACATGATGTAAGACCTATTACTTCCTTATTTCTATTCGCCTATACAATTCTTCTAGAAATGCAAAAATTAATTGAAAGGTGACGTTACACGGATGAATATTTTCCAATTCGCATAAGTCGTCTTTACAGAACGCACCATTTGTCAGTCAGGCATAAATATATGTATATACTTGTTGCATATGCCTTATCGTATACACATATGCAGCTATCTGCTGCTATCACATGAAATATTTCTTATCCGATTTATGAAAAAATATAAGACTTAAATAAAAAGATATATGTATAACCTTTGAGAAAAATTCAACCTATATTGAATTGAATATATATATATATTATTTTCAAAATTTTAATTACTTTAATCATATTTTGTATTACGTTATGTAATCATATTTGTAATGTAATAAAAATCATCGTACTATTTCGAGACTATATTTTCATTTAAAATACTAACATTCAATTAAAATGCATCGTATATATTTTTCTTGCTTGTTTTAATAATAAATACCTTAGCTATTGGTTAGCTGTATTTCTTCTCAGGTAAAAGGATTGCTTCTTCTTTTCAACGAACCAAATTTTTTTTCTGGTTCTCTTATTACTTCGAAAGGTGTTATCTTTGTTCTAACTTGTTTCTCATCATTGTCGTCACTAGGAAAATCTTCAAAACTCATGTTACTAAAACCAGACGTTGTTGCTGAGCCCTTTTTTATTTTGAGATTTTTTTTATGAGTAGCAGATTTAACTTTGTGAGATATTTTAGTAGGCAGAACATTAACGACATCGCCATGATTCTCATTAATAAGATGGTACTTTGATTTATCAGACTTGGATTTATCCTTCTTATGCTTTGATGGATTATCTGTAACTAAAGGTTCTGGAGACATAGTAGAAATTAATTCTGGTGTAATACTTAATTTAGAAATACTATTTAATGCCTGAGCTGCTATTGTAGTAGTATGCTGCACTGTTGTATAAGCCTGTAATGTTGTTGGTATTATTGGAACGGTGTTTAATGAATGTATGTTACACGTTGACACAGTATTCAGTGAATTCTTTACAAAGTTTGGAGAATGCGATAGTGGTAGAGATGTTGGCCTTTGCTGTTCACTCATTCGCAAGTTAGCAAATTCTTCAAAAGGTTCAGATCCGAAAAGATCTTTGGAAGACTCCATATTCAATGTTTCTGAATTACTGGTTACAGTGGCACCAAGTTTAGAACTAGAAATAATTGGTGAATTATCTGTACAATGATTATCTGGAGTTTTATAAGATTGCGAGGTGATATTAGCGTAATTAGCATAAGAAGAAGGTGAATTTATAAATGCAGAGATTGTTTGATCGTGCGTTTTTTCAACGTTTATATATTGTTGCATATTATTGAAGGGATTTGTAAAACCACTTGGGCTGAAAGGCGAAGATCCAAACAAATCTTTTTCTATATCTTCCTGTTCATTAGTATTAGAACAAAGAATAGCAGTGGTCGGAGATTGTTTAACTGAATGAGCAAAATCTACTATTTCGTAATTATTCTTACTCATATTTATATCTGTGAAATTTGTAGAAGGCAATACAGATAATAATTCGGCTTGAGTTTTACTTTCTACGTTTCCTAAAAATTCAGATGTGACTGGAGAACTTGATATAGGTGTTACCAAGTTTGAATTTTGAGGAGAATTCCCAATACTGTTCTGTCCAAAATGTTTACGTCCGCTATCACGACTGTCACTACTTTTTCTAGAACTACTAGATCTTGGAAATGGTGCAAGTGCAAATACATCGTTTTCTATTTTCCAAACACCATTATTTAATGATCTTAATTTATCGTTTTCATCTGATGAACTATTACCATCTAATAACAAAGGTTTTGATCCATACTGGAGACCAACAAACGGATCTCCATGAGATTGTTCTGGTTTTGATTCAGGATCTAATTCATCATCCAATAATAAAGGTTTTTCTCCATATTGATGTCCTACTACAGGATCAGAATCAATTGTCGGTAGATGTTGAGTATGGTGATGTTTTTTTGGCTTTTTCATTCTATATTCTTCCTCATGTGTTGCGACAGATTCACATTCGGCATGATACGCCGAACTTCCACAAGTGCGTACACTTTCTGAGATAGTCTCATCTATTTTCTTTTGTTCATCGTCATCATTTTCTTGATTACACTCCTCATCATTTATTGCTTTTAAATCACTAGCAGAACCTATTGAATCATCAGATTCATATTCTACATTAGTATTGT